TTATGAAATGAAACGTAAAGCAAACAAAAAAGACTAAGGTATACAAAATTACATACTTGCACACGAGTGACTAATTATTCATTAAAGACAAAGTATAGACTCCGACTTCATAGCTCAGCCATGGGAGGATGATATTTAATGCCCTATATGCAAGATGCGGGTACTGTGAGAACTTCTGTTTCTTACTCTGTGAAAATGTGAGGGTTGGATTAGAAGGAGATTGATATCTCTGATGTCTAATATCCTTTAGTTTAATAGATCCATATAGAATGGGGATATAGAAACTAAGATTGCTTTATTTCTAGAATGTAATGGTATGTTTTACAGGTTCTCGTTTAATAGATTTATCTAAATAAACATTTTAAAAAGACGGCAGGGCAATGCTGATTGGGAAAGCAATACGCTGACAAATTTTACAAAGTTCTTTATATAAAGGTGAGTATCGTTTTTTCTTTAAAAAGGAGTGACTTGCATGATGATGTCATCATTTGTAGCCTAGCTAACCTGAAAATGACTCACTGTAGCCATTAATGGAGCAAAAGCACATAATTCAGAGGCAATCAATCAGATCCACAGACATGGCCTTGCAGAGATCATGCTCTAATTATCCTACCCAATGAGCAGTAAATGAAGACAACATCTGTGAAGCCACTTCTTTAGTAACTTTCAATTATTACAAGGGCATATAACTTGTGCTTTTTAAATTTTATTTATCTATTTTTTTGTTTTTTGAGATAGAGTTTCATTTTTGTTGCCCAGGCTGGAGTGCAATGGCGTGGTCTTGGCTCACTGCAACCTCCGCCTCCCGAGTTCAAGCGATTCTCATACCTCAGCCTCCCAAGTAGTTGGGATTACAGGTGCTTTTTTTTTTTTTTTTTTTTTTTTTTTTTGTATTTTTAGTAGGGACGGGGTTTCACCATGTTGGCCAGGCTGGTCTCGAACTCCTAGCCTCAGGTGATCCACCCACCTTGGCCTCCCAAAGTGCTGGGATTACAGGCATGAACCACTGCACACCTGGCCAACTTGTGCTTTTTATACTCATCTTCATAAGGCCAATGGAGAAAAACAAGATATCTGTCAAAACATATAGGAGCATTCCATATAAATCCAAGTAACTATTTTAAAATCTGATTATTAGATAGAAAAGGTAAAAAGCACTATTCCTTGAGTTGTTGCCTAAATTTTTTTATGCTACATGTTTAGAGAAATTGCTTGTTTTCCTACCTTTGTTTAACTGAAGCAGCTGTGTTCTTCAAAAGCTAACATTATTTATTCTAAAACTTAGATTTAATGTAGATTGGGGAGCTAACTACACAGAACAATTTCAAATTAATACACTTGATAGTCTTCCTTATGCCTTGAGTTAAATCAATCAAGCTAATTGTCTATACTGAATCCATGATTGCCCATATTCTTTCCAATGGAATGAATTTGTTTTCGCTGAAAAGATTAGCTTTATTGCTTTCTGTAAAGCTCCTTGTATCTTCAGCTAGCTTATCTATTCCATTAGGCGTTGACTTGCCTCACTGAGCTGAGCCCCTCTGCCAACAGAAATTGGTCCTTAACAGAAGAGATAACTGCTGTAAGCACAAAACCTCTACAAACAGAAGGACAATAAATGTTCAAACTGGAGGCAAATAATTTGGGAAGCTGTTGAGTTCCTAAGATGCATATATCTTTATTATAGATTTCCTCTCCCAATTCTTAGAGATTGCACACATTTTAAAACCCCAATAGACTGGGCGCGGTGGCTCACACCTGTAATCCCAGCACTTTGGGAGGCTGAGGCAGGCGGATCACGAGGTCAAGAGATTAAGGCCAGCCTGGCCAACATGGTGAAACCCCGTCTCTACCAAAAATACAAAAATTAGCTGGGCATGCTGGCACACGCCTGTAGTCCCAGCTACCTAGGAGACAGAGGCAGGAGAATCACTTGAACACAGGAGGCAGAGGTTGCAGTGAGCCGAGATTGCGCCACTGCAGTCCAGCCTGGCGACAGAGAGAGACTCCATCTCAAAAGCAACATCAACAACAACAACAACAAACACACACAAAAAATCCCAATAATAAAGTTGTCATAATTAAATCATTTGTATACAACCTAATGGCTTCAAATTTTACCACAATAGACCCTGTGCAGAGGAATTAAAAGTTACATCTTCAAATTTACTCCCATCTTCATTAATAAGAATTGCATGAATATTTTTCTCAGTTCCTAGAGACCATATATCACTATTACAAAACCTGACCCCTGAAGAAAGCATAGCTCTTGATCTGTCTTTTGAAATATTTCTGAATTGGCCACTATCCATTCAAATGCCTTAGGAAAATCAATTTACAATTGAGAACAATGTGCTAGTGGTTTCAATGTCTTCAACAGTGTGCATGTATAGATGCTCAATCATCTAAAAAAGGGTCTTTAACATGTCATTTTGATAATTTCAAACAAGCCCTAAAATATTTTGCCTTCAGTCGTTCTATAAGATCTCCAGTTTTACATGTATGGAAGAAACCTCTCCTCACTCCCTGTATCTGAGATCATACATTGTAAGGAGACTTTTAAGGAGATAGTGCTGAAGAGTTGAATGATAGGTTTTTCCTAGACAGACAGTTCTATTGCAATGTGCTATTATTTCCCAATTCATTTTACTCTTTAATTTAAGTGAATTTATACCATCTATCACAAAATAGAAGGCAAATATCTTTCATCTGGTTCTTATCTTGGTGAGGAAATACCTCCTACTTCTGCAAAAAAGTCACCTCATAACTCCACTGTTGGGGATTTTTTCCAAAGTCGTCATTGCTGAACTAGGATAATCGTGTAGCAGGTATAACACTTGCCTGATGAAAAAACAGATTTGCTTCAAATGACACTGTGATTTTGAAGTTATTTTTGTTCTTTCTGTAATTTTTGTGTCATATGTATTTACTAGCCCTTAAGCACCATAATCTCTAGGGAAGTTTTAGTTCAGTTCAAAACTCTAAGATATTTTGTGTCATTTTTATGAATTACCAAATATAGTAGAAGTCAATTTAAATAAGACATAAAAATACTCAAAACCAGATATGATAAAGAATCAGAAAAAGAAAACAGACGTCTTCACGTTTTTTGGATTGATTGAATCTTAGAAGTTCCTGCAAAGCTGAGGCTAAAACCATTCTTTGGGCCTATCTTAAGGAGTCCTTTGAAGAAAAACATATAAAATTTCGATGTCAACTTAAAATAATACTTTTCTCTTCTAATTACTTTTTTAGTTTCGAAAAAATATCTTGGAGATAATTTGTATTTCCTTGTGATTCTAAGAGGAAACAAATTATTTTAAGTTCCAATGTTTTCCAGAATATAAGTAAGTAAACCCCATATCTAGTTAAGGAGAGTAACAGGACATGGGAATATTTATTTTAAAAGAACTGATTTTAAATACATGTAATAGTTACTCTATTTTAGAGGAGAGCTTGTCCAAGGCTAAAATGCAAAACTTTCCAAATGGTACTAAATTGATTTTATTCACCTTATGCTTTTAAATTATTTATGTATAAATATAAAGATGATGCAACATTTGAATATTTCCAAAAAGCTCAAAATATTTCCTTCTCTTGGATGTGCAAAACGCTGGTGAATGCAAGAATAGTTTGAGTTTTTTAGGAATTATAGGCTTACAATTCTACTTTTTGCTTAAAAATGTTTCTTGTAGCTTCTAGTTTTCATAGCATCTGTCTATGAAAAAGTATCTTTCTACGACTCTATTATTACAGAATGTTAACTTTGTTCTGAAAAGGCATATTGACCTCTCCCCTCCTGCCCCATTGGTTGATTTTTCTTAACTCTTTGGGCTTTCCTGAACAGAGCCATAATGAGACAGCACAGAAGTTTGTTGCTAAATGAAAGAGCAACACTGAATTTTTGCTTTATTGCTGAGTAGGAGTGCCTGATAGCTTTACATTTTGGCAAGATCTTTTCTCTAAACTTGCCTGAAAATAGATTTTCTTTGGTATGAAGGAGGGATACCAGAAAGCAGTGGCACAAAATACAAGAGACAAGAAAAAGAGTGTCAGAAAAAAATATTGACGTTAAAAAGAAAAGACTTTCTTGGAATATTGAAAGGGCATTATAAGTTTGTTTATGTACAAAGTTACTGTTTTTATCTTTCTTTCAAAAAAGGATGTTGTTTTATATCTTCAATGACAAAAGTTAAACTATCCTGAATAGATCAATATTATGAGATAAACATTAAATAATATTTGTATTATTTCCTTCCAGGCTAATTGCTTTGTCCAAACATAGAGCATATAAGCAAGGTTCACGTCAAGACAGAACTCAAAATACCCTGGTTTGAAAAGATATGAATGTTTGCTCTGGGGAGCTGAAGAGTTAGTAAGTAAGCTTTACTAATAGCTCTATTTAATACAATTAATCTTGAGTAGAAGTTCAAAGTCTACAATTTTATTCATCAGAACCATGTGTCTTTTATTATCAACACGAATACCTGCCCTTTGCAACATTTAGGCAATAGTAACCAGAATTGAAACTCGGTGAAACATCCTTATTTTGGAGTAAACATGAGGGAATGGTAGAAAATGTCATAGGAAATCCTTGGGAAATAAAGAAGGAGATAAAATTGGAATCAGTAAAAGATAGCCAAATGAGCTCATGGTCAGAATCTAATATAGAAAACTCAATTTTATGTCAGAAATGTAACTTTAATCTCAAGTTAAAAACCATAAAGCAATAGAGATACATTCAGAAAAAAAATGTTAGTCAAGCAACTAAAAGTTGGTAAAAATTTTTACCCAAGAATAAACAGAAGGAATGGGCACGTTATGTGATTTTCATCATATTTCAGATGCTATCTTCCTAAAGTCCAAACTCTTAGCAATAAATTGCAACCAGTAGCTCTTTAACACATCTGCTTCCCTTTTAAGAACTGTTAGCTTTCAACATGAAGAAGGCAAGGTAATAATTATTTCTGGCAGCAAATATGTGTTCATGCAATTCTTACCTGCCCCCCTTTAGGCTGGTATTTGATGTTGTCCGTTGATCCGATTTTGGATTTGACATTCTTCAGGTCTGGCAGTGGTTGGTTTATAAGCCGAAGCTGTTTGGGAGTCGCAGGAGATTTTGGAGGAGTACGTATGATGGCGACCTTCTTCTCACTCGGCACCAAGATGGCAGACTTGGGCGTTCCTGGTGTGTGAGGGGTCCTGGGATAGCTAGGGGTTCCAGGAGTGCCTGGTGTGCGTGAAGAATAACTTGGTGGGGTGCCAGGAGTGATGGCAGTAGACCCAGGGGTAGTGGGTGTTGAGGTACCACTTTTTCCTGCTCTGCGAATCGGCTCTGACCCTGTATTAACAAGCAAGACCAAAACCAAACCAGAGTCAGACAATTCTCCTCAAAACATCCCTCTTCCCATAGATTGTTAGAAGTCATAATATGTTTAATTTCTAAGGTATTTAGAAACAATAATTGTAATGATCACTATAGTGCTCAAGAAGCTGAGAGTCTCGTTTCTGAAATCAGGTGCATAACTCAGTGGCATTCTTTTGAACACGCATTGCTATCAACACAAAGAAAAAAACCTGATTTTTTTTTTTTCTGATTTGTTCTCCTTAATTTTCATTATAAATGTGTCAAAAACTATTTTCTACTTGTGTGACTATTAAGGCATATGGATCTGCCTTTAGTTGGAAAAGAATTTACACTTAGTGTCGTATGCAGACCCATATTTACTGAAGATTCCTTGAATGATATGTAGATCATTCATTCCTCTATGTAGTAAATTCATTCTGGGATCCAGGTGAACATACAATATAGAAACACGTATTTAGGACATATAGTTTCGGTCCATATAGAAAGGTCTGCATTTCAATATTCTATCCTTATATTGAGGAACACTATGAGGTATATAAATGTGTTTATGGAAGCTGTCAGACATTGCTCTACTATATCATGTATTCTTTTCATAAGGAAAATCATCTCAGTGCTTCAAACAAACAAACAAACAAAAGTCTATTTCTTGCCTTAGAAACTTGGGATGTCCCAATATATTCCCATTGAGCCTTGTACCTGACTGTGTTTTCTCCTCTGTTTTCATCACTAGTTTGGCAGTTTGGTGTTAAATCCAAGACCCCGTTAATTATACAGGATCTGAGATGCATTTCTTTGCCTCAAATTGAGCTCAGCCTCCTATTATTATTATACCCACCCCCCATTTTCCTACACTATGTTTCTTTCATCTTCTGAATGTGCTTTGAATGACATTTTAAATACTTATCTGAAAGAATGATAGAAATAAGAAAGCAACACCTTATAAATTTCAAAGCACTTATGTGAATATCAACCAACTGATAACCAAACATGCACAATACGGTTCTTAGGGGTAGCTCTTATTATTTCTAAGAAATGAGAATATTGAGGCTCATTCACCCAGATGCTACTAACGTCTAAGCCAGATACAATATTTAGCCCCTGAGGATTTACATTTCTAAGCATGCAAATTTCATTTATAATATATTTTATAGAAAAGGGATAATTTTCATTTTTTTTTACTGCTGATTAAGTAAAAAAATCAATGAATCTTCTGAAATTTTGTACAGAATAAATACACAACAATTTTAAAGCCACTGAAGTGAAAGGAATCTTAGAGGTCACCTAATGCAATTGCTCATAAATATAGGAAGTTCTTTCTGAGAAGTGGACAGGTAATCTTTGCCTAAATATTTATAAGATGTGAGCTCAGGAGAGCTTTTTAGACAATTGTGATCTATGGAAAATGTAAATCTACCCATTGCTATAGGTTCTATCTCCTGGAGAAACACAGAACAATTGTACTTCTTTCAATGAACAGTTTTCACGTATCAAATGAAAGTGCCCTGTGTCGTCTTGATTTTCTAACACAGGGCACAAGATAGTTAGATTCTTCAACTGATAATATGAAATGGGATATGAGAAGTCTAAAGTGAGAAATTAGCATGTGTTCTGTGATTTTTATTGCTTTTCACAAGAATTTCAAGACTAGGATGATACAACTACATCCAACTTGGAATTTTGTAACTTCCATGTCCTGGTTTGTTATGGACTAAGTTTTCAATGTAGATGTCTGTCTCTAAGTCTGTCTGAATACTTTCACCAGAAACATTATTTCTTTCTCAAATATTTTCTCTATTACTTCACCAGTTTTGAATAGCTCAGATTTTCTGGGGAGAGGGATCATCCCTGTATTTTTTGCCATTGTATCTAGCCCTGGTGACTTTCATGTGAGCTGAATACAGTAGGTAGACAACATTTTTAAAAAAATAAAATGTATTGAATTCAGAATTATCAAAGTGTGCTGAGGGGTTTTTTGACTTCATGGAGACTGAACTGAAGCAATATTCTGGATGTGAATAACAATTTTTACTACATGAAATAATTTTTTCTACACTTCTGACGAGTCATTTCCATACTTGTAGAAAACACTTTAAGCCTCATAAAAGAAGGTTTTGTGTTACATCTGGAGAAAGAGGATAAACTACAAATATTAAGGCCTTCACACTGCTGTTCAATATATATGATCAATTTTTATTGTAATAAATTTGTTCTTGTCATCAAAACAATAAATTTGAATGTTTCCTATTTGTTCTGAACTTGAAGAGGTTAAATCTAAGATCTGAAACAACTTTTAAGATATTTATTTACAAGTTACTTGATTAAACTGTGCTCTTATTTATCTTGTCAACTCCTCAGTGACAATGGATTTCCTTCTTCTTGGGCAGATGAGCTTCCTGCACAACATTGTTTCCTTCAAATCTTTTCAATAGCTGCACAAAATGTTAGAACATCCCTGTGTACCATTAAGGGGATGGTAGGCAAGTAGAAGTGGGCAGAGTGCTTGCTCTTCCAATCATCTTTATGCCTTTCAGCTATTGGTATATAGACGTAAGACAGACTTTATGTTTTAAAATGATCAACGTGTCAGTTATGTTCACTATCAAATAATACAATGCAAAATGCTTGTAAACATCAGTAAATTTAAAAAGTCAAAATAGAATTGGTGCTGAACATTTAACGAATCAATTCATATACAGATATACTTTAAAAGGCAGAACACAGTGGTTTGAAGAAGTAGATTTATGGAGAAAGTGCCATTTTGCTTTTATAGCAACAAATACAAGCATAATTCAAGATGTTCTTTTGGAGAGTACTTGGTATCTTTGTCTTGTCTCATCATCCTTGGGGTTATTAATGATGTTCAATTTCAACTCTAGATATTTAAAGTCTCTTCCCTGGAAAGTACTAAATCTTAAATGCCCTCCCTGCTAATTCATTTAAATAATTTATTTTTGCTATGATAAAATAATTTTTGTGATTTCAGTGTTCTTAGCACATATTTCAAAGGATGCTAATACTCTCGGAAACTAAATAATGTTGGACACAATTACTCTTATTATAGTAAACACTTCTCTTGTAGGCTAAAACACTGTTTAAATGCCAATAGTCATATTTAAGTGGGTCAATTATTATTAAAATAAGTGTTGAAGCCAACTATAATGTGATAGTGGTAGCAATTTCCACCATTTTAAAATGGTTTTTAAATGACACAGACACTCTTCTCCAAATAATTCTACAGAGCAGTTGTCTAGTACTATTTCTTCCAAATCAATATAGAAAAGACATTAAGACTTCAGGCTGTGAAGTTATCAGCAGACTGAAAACCAAATTCAACCACTTACTAGCTGTGAAGCACTGGACAAGTTACCCTCTGTAGAGGGTCAGTTTTCTCATCAGTAGATTGAATTGAGTTTATTAATACCTACTCATTGGTTTTGCTAATTAAATTTAGTGACAATGTATCTTAAGAGTTTAGTATCTATATGTGCTCAATAACTGGTAGCTATTTTGGTTGCAACAGAAAAATACTTATGGAAGTATTTTGAATCTATGCTTTACTAGATAGTTTGCCACAATGCAACATATAAATGTGTAATGATTGGAGCATTATATAAACTGTTATAATTGCCAATCAGTTCATGAATGGGCCATCAATCAAGATAATTTGAAACTATTGCATAGACTATACTATATTTATATCTCATTTGGAATGCAAATTTTTAATGAGTTGAACAGGATCCTAAGTTTTGATTGTTGACTTTCTAGTTCGATTTTACGACTTGGAAATCTAATAAGTGTTAAGCTTTTATACCTGTATGTTTTTAAAAATCCTTGACTTGGTTTCTACATTGATCACTTCTTTAGAGTTATCATTTTTGCGCTAAATTTGAAGCAAAAAGGAAAATATATTCTTAGAGAAATAAGTTTATCTCAGTCTTAGATAATAGGGTAATATGTTACCATTTCCTCTATCAATTGTTTTTACTCAAACAGCTATTTTGTGGCCATCTACATTCTGGATTCTCTGATTCTTAGGGCAAATATAATCTAGTCTTAATGCATGTTTTATTTTTACAAATTAAAATATAAATATAAGTGCTATTCCACTTAAAGGATTTAAAAAGTGCTTAAAAAGGAAGTCAAATCAAAATAAACCTACTGGTGGTCCGCCGTGCTGAAGAAGAGATAGAACTGTTGAGAGAGAAGGAGTTCTCATCTCTGTCTCCTGATACACCTCGGCGAGGAGGAAGAATGGAGGAAGGTCTTGGGAGAGAAGAGCGCTTTTCTGGGCTCTTGGTTACTCCATCCTGATTGGAGAAAACAAAAAGGACATTGGGTTCTTGTAAGTCTTTAATTTATACGAAGTGATATTGATTTTGCTATTTTCCTCCTGTGCTGATAGATGAATTTCTTTTAATACAAACTACTGGATTTCATATATTTACAAGCATTTCTACTTTAGAACTTAGAAAGAGTGTATAGTTGCCTAGATGTTTTATAAAAATACATTATTTTGGAGTTCTGATAACTGAGTTCAAGTTCTAAATGATAATTGGGTAAAATAAATGTACTCAAGCAATCTTCAGCAAATTACTAATTTTATTGAAAAATCTTCATTAGCATGATAATTTATTAATCAGAAAGGACTGAGAGTAGCTCACTGCATGCATAATATTTCTAACAATGACCACTACCATATATTGTGCATGTATGTGACAGGAACTCTTTATAGGTTACATTCTTTTATGATTTGTTTCTCACCACAGAACATGATACACATTTTAAAGCTGAAGAAACGGGTTTAATGAGTTTATGTAATTGTTTCAAGACAATTGAGTTGGTAGATGTCAAGAGATAGTATTAAACCCTGATGTATATGATGTTAAGTTTCAATTGTCTATTATATTCTATACAATTTGTTATTATTGTACTGTGCAATATTATTTCTTATATATTATATATAATATATTTTGTAAGTTTGCATTTGATATTTTACCAGATAATCAAACCATCAATTAATAATGGGAAGTATATCTAGAAAAAGACATTTTCTACATTTAAAAAATAGGTATACTATTTATCAAAATTTTAAATTTGTATCTGTTTTTAAAAGGGCCTACTGTTTATGTGTCAAATACTTCAGAACATAAAGTATTTGCTTTCATACACTTCTTGAATTAGGTTCTATAACATAATCTCCCAAATTCTATTTCTTTCTGCACCTTTTATTGACCTGCTGCCTTACCTTGTTCCCTGATTTTGAGTATGGCAAACGGTCTGTGGAGCCTGCTGAGGTGGGCTGCATTAATAAACTGTCAGAAAATGTAGCCCTTTTAGTCGTGCTAGGGCAGGCTGAGCTGTATCTTGGGGACTTTGTGCTACCCTGTAAAGCAGGAATCTTTGACAAGGTAGAATTCTAGCCATGAAAGAAAACAAACAAAAGCACAAAATAAACCAAACTATGAAGTAAAAGGAAAATAAAAAAAGAAGTATAAATGTATAAGAAACTCAAAGTCTTTTTAATAAGAACACATGATAAATGGTTATAATCAATGATAGAGATGTATACTTAGATGAGAAGAGATTTTCATTGAACAGCTCTCTTTAGCCAAAACTAACTTAATAATAGTCATAGAAAAATATCTGTTATAAGAAAACCAAATATCACATGTTCTCATTTATAAGTGGGAGCTAAACACTGGGTACACACGGACACAAAGATGGCAACAATAGACACTGGGGACTCCAAAAGTGGGGGAAGGATTGAAAAACTTCCTATTGGGAACTATGTTCACTATTTGGGTGATGGAATCAATATAAGCCCAAACCTCAGCATCACGTAATATACCCTTGTAACAAGCCTGCACATGGACACCCTGATTAAAAATAAAATAAAAAATCTGTTATATAAATAAGACACATAAATAATGCTAAACCATTTTATTTTCTAGTAACCAGGTCTAGAACAGTTATCCACATTTATTATTTATTATTTGCTCCTCTTTACTTCCAAATGTGATTGTTTATGTTTGGTACATAGTAGAGACCCAGTGGATAATTGTTGAATAAATGATGAATGGATGGATGGATAGATAGAAGGACAGAAGAAAGAATAATGTTGCTTAGATATGAAGGAATTAGCTTTGTGAAATCCTGAGACCAAAGTAAGTCTCTCTTTTTTAAAAAATAGAATAAGCCTTAATATAGAAAGAATGTTACAAGTGACTAGCAAAACTCTCTTTTTGCTGGTTTAAAAAATAATGCTGAGTGCTTAAATTTTGTTTTTCAAAAAATGATTCTATACATAGTTCTCTCATTTAAGGATAATGTATATAAAATATTCTTTTTGGATTCTATGTATATAGTCTCTAATTAATTCATAGGTTTTATAATGATAATACATTTGGAAATATCTTTGAATATCCTAACTGCTGGAATTATTCCTTTAATAAATACAGCCTTCAAGGTGTACATATAATCCATATATTAATCATGTTTCAAGAACTTTAGAACAAGGTATATTTGAGGCCTAATGAAAAAAAGCATTTTTAAAGATTGAAAAAACTTATTTTCAGGTAATCTTCACTGACTTCGACAGAAAATTTTCAGAGTTTATATATGATTGGTTCATTTTATAACTAAAACACATACTGTGAACTAAGTTATACCATAGAACTAAAAACATTTTTATGCAAAGACTATAGTCTGCATGATGTATTATGAATTCTAAAAAGGAAAGTCAGGACTGAAAAGATTGCCAATAAAAATCATGACTTAATTTACAGGTGTTGATAACCCCTGGGGAGACTGGCTGCAAGTATAATTGGGAAGGATGTATGACTTTTGGAGAAAGCTATGCCAGCATGCCATACATCTCATGGGTGACTGTTAAAAATATAGATAAGTATGACAAAGCCAAAGAGATTATTATCTTCAAATAATTAATTTGATCTGTTACAGAAATGACAGATAAAACTGAGATTTTTATCTCAAGTTTTAACCTCTGGAGCTACAACAGAGACATAAGTATTTACAGACTATAAAAATCACTTCTTGTTTTATAGACCCAGTATCTTGAGTGGGAAGTGTAATTGGGTCAGCACAAGTCATTCTTTTTTGATTGATGCTACCCACAAAAGAGTGAATTTCAAGTGTGATATAGAAGAGAAAAATAAACTGGACTGCTTGTAGTTAAGAAAGACAACTATTAATGCTAAACAAACAACAGAAAACCCCAAGTGAAATGCAGGATTATGGGTGGGTCTGGCTCCTAATAAAGAGCAATTTAAAAAATCATCACAGGAATCCCATAAATATATACACCTAATATGTACCCATAGAAAAAACATCGTTAAGTTAAAAAAAGTGAATCTAAAAGAGTATACAACTACAAAAAACAATCAGAGAACTGTTCTGATGGATAGACTGAATATTAGAGCTAAATCAAATAAAAGTTACTCGGGGTTTTAGAAAACTTATAGGACAAGGATATCATATTAGGAAGGAAAAAAGGCTAATAAATGAGAAAAAAAGAAAGAATGAAGGCCTAATTTTTCTTCAGAAAGACAAGATTGGCAGTTACAAGGAAAAAAGTTTGTTTTGTGTCAGATGATGCCTATGGTTCTGTTCCAAGTGCTGATTCTATCGAGTTACTCAAAGACCAAGGGGCTTAAAAATTTCCTAAAAATGTTCCAAATTATGTCAACTTAAAGGAGGAAAGGTTATTTTTTATATCAGCTCCTGAAAACTTCCACCATTCAGTTAATTAAAATAATAACTAATAACTATTACCATTTATTAAATGAATGCTATGTTCTAAGCATTATACTGCATACTGTTTTATAACATTATTACATTTAATTTTTATAACTAACTCATGATACAGGAATTTTGTCCTCCCCTTTATTTTTAGAAAATTAAGAAATAGGAAGAAAAGGATCATATAACTAAAAGATGTTCAAGATTTGAACATGGTCTGCTCCATAGCCCTATGGCTAACCACCATAAATCATTAATTAGGAAACAGAAGGTAAAGAGATACAAATCTTGAAATCACGATGTGTTTATAATAAAGCCTAATATTTATCAAAGCAGTAAATGAACTCTGTTTCTTGCCATATGCTCAGGAATATATCTGATACATTTGTATAAAAATCAAGTATCATCTTTTATCAACGTAAAACCCCTCAGGTTCAACATCAAAGATTTGGCTGTCACAGGAAATGAATCACTACTTTTCATAATAAATAAAAGTGGAAGTCTAAAATCTTACTGGTTTTTAGAAGGGTAAACTAAGAATTGTGATTTACATATTATATATGTTTGCTCAGTCTCAGAACGTTGTTATAAGCTACTAATTAATATCATTCACATTATTTGTTATAATTTTAGGATTTCATTAGTAGCCTTTTAATTTTTTTCTTTCAATCATAAAGGAGTGAAAATACTTCATGTTGGCTTTGGTCATTAAAATATAGTTAATAATATAAAAATAAAATTCACAGAAAAAAATAGAAAAGATTTATAAATATATGAAGAAGTTAAACACCATTAATACAACCAAAATAAATTTTTAAAATAATAACATATGCCATCTCCATAATTTGGCAAATATAGAACAATATAAAATACGTGGTAATAATAATGAATATGAACACTCTTCTTACACAGAATGTATAAGTGGGTAGAACCTTTCCAGAGGGCAGTTTGACAATATGTAGCAAAAACTTTAAATATAAACATTTTTCTTTAATTTCACTAGTAGAAAATTTTCTGAAGGAAATGGCACACAAACGCATTTATGAACTGAACTTAGTCAAAAAGTTCTCTACAGTAATATTGTTAAAACAACAACAAAAATTCTAAAAGTCAAATAATAGGAAATTAAGTATACCATCGCAAATAAATAAAATGCAGTATTATGTAGTCATTAAAACTTACAAAATGTTCAACGACATGGAAGTACATTTACTGTTGAATTTAAAAATTGATACACAGTGTTCTCATTTTTGTTGTTAAGCCTATAAATTTATAGAAAAAAATTAAGATTTTACACCAAAATGATAACTGTGTTTATCTTTATAAGGGGATTATAATTGATTTATACTTCCTTCTGCTTGTGTACAATGCTTCATTTGGTCATATTTTTATTTTGCAACAAAAACAATGAAAGTGTATTATAAAATATAGTTACTGTTGGTTATATGGTTTAATTCGATTCTATGAAAAGTAAATATATTGGACTTCCTTACTTTTGCCATATCATTGTGCTGCTTTCTATGTTTCTGTCTTACTAGTAAGGAAGCAGTCCAGCTGTGTCCTCACCAATTACCATTATATGCCATCCCAGAAGACGTTAATCCTTCCATGCCTGGATGCCACGGAGAATCTTCTGGGTGAGTGAACTATTTAAAATGACTTTTAAGAGTAAATATCTAAACAATATCAAAAGTTATTCCGATGTTGCAGCTAATACCAAAGGAACTTCAAATGAAGAACAAGGAAAAACTTATTTTACTCACAGAGACTTTGTCCTTTGCCTGTTTAAATACACTGGGAGCCAGAGCTGATTCCCCACCTGCTGCTGTTGAAAATAAAAGACAAACAACCCCAAATTTAGTCCTAAAAACTCATAAATGCAGTTTTAAATACCTTTAGGATATTCTGTTGTGTCAACAGACTAATGCAAAGCAAAAGTTTGCTTACTCTGAGACTCAAATTCAGTAACTCAAGTAACCTGAATAGCAATAACATAGCATGTGGCTCCAACTATACTGTGTGCTAATTAATATAACCCATTGTCTACCAAAGCACAGATAAGCACACCAAATAATTTTTCTATTGATTACCAATGTATCTTTGAGTCACCAGTATGTAAGGATAGATCCTTTAGAACAGAAGTTACAGAATAGCAATGTGAATTTTGCAAAGTTTAAGAGAAAGAACATTGACTGGTTTCTGGGGTTTGCATGATATACAGAAGGGGGCTCATAGAGATTTCCAAACCCTCTTCTTGTTCTGGAAGCCACTGGCATACCTATAGATATTTCGGTATTTTACATTTCAAACTGTCATGATGTCATGATCAGCCAACCCCTTTCCCTTTGCATCCCTTCATTTCACAAAATGAATGACATACTTGTTTGATGTGAAAATGCCACATGAGAAGGGAAGAAAAATAGCTTGTCAAGAACAGAAAACACGAGAGAAAATTTAAGTTCAGTAAATACAGAACATGTTCTACACATGCACTTCCTGTATGAAATTATTACCACATCTGTTACTGTTGTTTCTCTTGCTGCTGTTTTATGCTTCTGGTTTCAATTTTAAACTCCATTATCTCTAGCACATTTTGGTTGATGACTTACCTGAGGTGGCTTAGCTCTCATGATTTAAAACAATCCTTTGTGGTTTGGAAAACCATCTATGTTTGAAAATTGGGCTTAGAAGATAAAATAATCAAGCTTGTGTGTTTATTTCTCCTTAATTTTCATTCATAAAACAGAAACCCTCAGGAAAAAAAATATGTATCCTTATAAGCCCTCTGAATAAGTTCCAAAAAGGTATTTTTATGACATGTACAGTTCTGACACAAAAATAATAACTATCTACAATATGCTTTATGCCATGTAGGACTAGCTAGTGAGATTTTTCAGATTCTAGGACTTATCGTTTTTAAGGAGGCAGTAAAAATGATGCCTTCCTACTACCTCTGTAACATAACTCAAATTCTTGAGACACGTATAGCTTGCTTCAAACCAATGACACCTATATCTGATACATGCATTCTCCTAAAGTATCTTAACATTAGACCAGAATAAAGGAAAATCTTAATTAGTTCAAAGATTTTAAATTTCTTTCAAAGAATGAATAAAAACACCATTTACTTTAAATGTAGTAAATTGAATATCAATGACATGTAAACACTTGACTAAACCATTTTACATTTTCTCTAAAATTCCACAATCCTGATGACATCTTTCATCCTCTTCAGGTAGGTTATAGAGTTTTTATGCTAAATCAAGAGATTCTGCTTGCCCAAGCAATTCTGCTATTAAGTTAAATGAAGCTATTAATTTGCTATTGAGTTTAATGAAGTTCTAAGTTTAATGAAGCTAAAAACCTGAGAAAATGAACTGAGGTATGTCATGTTAATTCCTAACTCCTAACTTCAGAGATATTCTTCATCCTGAAGCTTTATCAAGGTTTGCATATATACAAGCCTTCCATTTTCCAATTCTGCCTTAGATTCTTGTTTTTGAAGGAAAGCACATGATATGATTTCTAGATGAAGAACACAAATACAAAATACTTGGAATTTTCAATAACTAAAATAAAACCATCAATTACCTTGATTTTCTCTTTCTCACAAAGGCTAATGTTCCTTTTAACCTTTAAAACCATCCGAAGATTTATATAGAGGCATTGATGATGTACAATGGAAAGAAAAACATTCTTTTCTGATTTAGCGATCTGTCATTTTGTAGGCTACAAGCATGCCACTTAATAAACTCTAAAATAAAATATACTATAAGATTATCCTAGTATAATTAAACATATAAAATAAATACTTTGCACTGAAATTTAGAAAAAAGTTGGCATTACAGATATTTGTAGGGGTTTTTATGATGGTTTCCAACATGTTTTATTTCTTTATCAGTTTTATAAACTTAGGAAAAAATATGTATTTGAAGAAGAGAAGTGAGTAGACAGCAGGCTGGGCGCGGTGGTTCACGCCTGTAATCCCAGCACTTTGGGAGGCCTAGACAGGTGGATCATGAGGTCAGGAGTTCAAGACCAGCCTGGCCAAGATGGTGAAACCCCATTTCTACTAAAAAAATATATATATATATACATAAATTAGCTGGGTGCACACCTGTAATCCCAGCTACTCAGGAGGTTGAGGCAGAAGAACTGCTTGAACCCAGGAGGCGGAGGTTTCAGTGAACCAAGGTCGCGCCACTGCACTCCAGATTGGGTGACAGAGCGAGACTCTGTCTCAAAAAAAAAAAAAAAAAAAAAAGTAGGTAGCAAAGTAAAAATAAACCAAAATTTATTTCTAACTTAAGTTCCTCCAAAAAGGAAGAGTTTTCGCTTCAAATTTTTGAACACTAAATTATATAGAAAAGTTGAGTAGTTTGGATCCAACATATTTAAGAAAATCTCCATGACACAAGATCAGCTAAGAGATGTAGTTCAGTAGAGTGAAAACCTTGTTAATTTTGGATATGAGGAATAAAATCTGATATAATTACCGGAAAATTTTGTTTTCTTTCTTTTTTTTTTTTTTTTTCCCCCAACAAAAGCAAAGTCATAGTAATTTTGTAAACCACAATTTCACTTCCTGGCTTGCTTTTCATTTTCAGTATCTAAATCACTACACATTCTTGGTGGTTTTCAATAAATTCATCAACATCAGTAACAGATTTGGCAGTAATAATGTAGAAAATAGGACAAATATTTATGGGTTTAAGCATGAGAGGGATAAATAAGCAAAATAATGAGAATGCATACCACAGTTAAATTCATCGCCATCGTCTAACCAAACACACAGAATGAAAATAGGAATCCCCAGAACGTGACACTAGAGCACAATGCCAAGATACAATCACGCACTGTTATGTCTGAGCATGACAAAGAAACAGATGGTCATGACCTTTTCTGTAAGGAGGGGGAAAAAAAGAATAATGATACAAGACACTTAATAGCAAATTTTTCATGACTGCTGAGATTCTTGGAAGAAAAACAAAATGAAGAAGCTGCTACAGTAATGAGATTTTTTAAAAAAATACATGTCTATGTTTGCCAGTCACATTGCAGAATTGAACAGTCACCTGTGGTTTTCCGCTTAACACAGGAGAGATGAGTTGGTCTAGTATATTTGATAGCAGGTTTTAAAATGAATTTCCTGGAGGGAGAGTGGGCCTGAACTTCTGTTTTTTTAGCAAGTTCAGCCTTCTTATAAACTGCTATGAATAAGAAAACACAAAAAGCATACCATCAGGAAAAAATAAACACTTGGAGCAAAACCGAACGAAATTTTATAAATTATTAGTTACCACTGTTAGGCAGTTCTTCTGCAAAAAAGTAATAATGAATTACTTCAAAAACATTTTTAAAGAAGTGATTGTTAAATGAACCTTTTTTCCTTCTCACTTCATCTCTGGAGACTGTGCTAGGTTCCTTTTTAGCTACTTTTCTTTCAGGAGTGGAAATTCTGCCTCTCCCGGTTTTAAAAGGCTTTTCTTTTCTATGTTTCTCAAGAGATGATCTCCGAGCTTCCTTTTCAGCTTTCTCCTCTTTAGGAATAGTTTCTAACTGTTCTGTCATGATGCTCCTATCATCATCTGTGGATCAAAGCAAATCATGACAACAACAACAACAACAGTGAAAACATTAGTAACAAGTGTACAAAATCCTTTGTATATTTAACAAAATGCAAAACAAAGAGATAAAGAGGTATTTTAAAAAGTTTAAGTGAAAAAAAAATCCCATAAGGTTATTGTGTTTGAGTTGAGAGTAGAAAATTTTAAAAAAATAATAATAATGCACACCTTGAGTGTCCACCCAGAGGCTGTCAGCGTCCATGATGGAGTCGTCAATGGTGGTCTCATCTTTGTAATCGTCATAGGTTTCTGTCTTATATTCAGAAAATGCAACCTCTTCTCTCTCAGGGGAAGCTGGAGCCTCTGGGGAACCATCTTTGGGTTCTGCCTGGGCTTCAGCTGCCTCTTCCACTTCAAACTCTTCTTCGTCATGAGGAGATGGTCTCCTTTCCACCTCAGGCTGCTCTAGTGCTGCAAAACGCACGCTGTGGGACCCTGACTCCCCTTCATCAGTTGTGGTTTGCACTACAGTGATGAAATCATCCTCGATGGTCACAACAGACTCAATCACTCCTTTGTGTTCACCTGGGCAGGTCTCCACAAATTCCTCCCTGGCACCTGAGACACCCAGGTCAGTAATCTGAAGGGTGTCTGAGCGGAAGAGCAGTTTATCATATTCTCCCTGGGCTTCTATCTCTTCTTCCTCACTCTGAATCTCTGCTGGTTCAGATATGATTGCTTCATGCAATGGCTCTGCAACATCAGAAGGCGTGATGGATATATCTGGGGTCTCTTTGCTTTCTTCTTTTGGCCCCTGAATAAATTCCATCTGGACATCAGCTCTCTCATCTGTGGCTAAATCAGCCTCTGAAAGAGCAGGTGGGCAAGGTATTTCCACTGACAGTTTGACGGCAATCTCATCTTGAATTAGAGATGATTCTGGAGATGTTTCCTTCTTGCCCTCATCAGCTTTCAAGGACTCCATGGTGAGACTTTCATGCTCACCACTAGACTCATAGGACTCCTCCTTGTCTACAGCCTCCTGGTGCACCAAGTCAGGCTTGGCCACCTTCTCTTTGACTTCTGTCTCACTAACTTTGATGCCTTCTTTCATGTGGCCAGACTCGACACCCATAAATGCATCTACCTCCTGCGGTGCTTTGGATGAGGGGGTCATGTCCTGTGTAGCCTCAAGTTTTAGCTCTGTTGTCCTTCTATCATCTATGTTTAGCCCTGAAGCCATCTGTCCAAAGTCACTAATTTTAACATCTAGTTGACCCTGGACAGCAAAATCCAGACCTTGTTCCACCTTTTTGGATGATTCTACCTCAGCTACCTCTAGCACTGAACTAAGACCCTTCTCCGCTTTCTCAGAGGATGCATCTGTTGGCATTGACAAATCTTTGGCCAAAGCTTGCTCATAGGTTAGTCCTAATCCGAATGTTTCTACTTCATCACCAGCCTCTTCAGTTTTCTTGGCATGTTCTTTTGAATCAGCATGTTCTTCACTCTTTTCTATTACAGTATCCAACCTATCATTAGCTTTCTTCTCTTGGTCAAACTCCTTACCCAGTCCTGATTTGTCACCAGAGATATGCGCGGATGCTTCTTTGTCAACACTGAACTCATCTTTGACTCTTCCGGCTGCTGCCAGTTTCACTTCAATCAATGAAAGGTCTGTGGCCAAATCTCTTCGAACTTTATCATCAGTACCTTCATAAAAGGAACCACTCTCCCCTGATAAATTCTCACTGTCTTGAACAGGTGACGGCAATGGGACTGTGTATTTATTGAACACACAGTAGCCCAGGTCTTCGAGCTGACTGTCCGTTTTTACAATGACATGGTTTTCATCAGTTACCGGGGGCAAACCAGTACGACTATCCTCAACCACAGTCTCTGATGGGACTGATTTCCTCCTGGCAACCTCAGCATCTGCACTCACAGAAGCCAGTCTCGACCTTGTGCCTGCCAGATCTAGCATTTCAGGCAGGTCCGGTGCCATGACAGTACCATTTTTGTAAAAATCTTTGGCTAGGAAAGGAGACTCACATGATGTCTCCACTTGAGTACTTTCTTCCCCGGTAGGTTTTATTTTCTCTATCTGTTCCTCCTCTTTGCTTTCTACAGGGAAGCAAGGGGCTTTCTCTAGTGCAGGTGTGGTGGCTGGAAGGTAATCATCCCCTTCATCCATACTTCCACTAGTGTTGGTTAGAATATCGGAAGCCAGAGGAGAAAGATCATGTCCCCGACCAAAGTTAAATCCAAGGGCTATGGAATCTAGGCAAGACATAGGCAAATTGATTGACATGCTTCTTTGTTCTATTGCAGACCTACCACCAAGTCCTAAACTCCTGCTGAGGGTCAAATCGTCCTTATTCTTACTGTGGAGGTCCCTTTTCTCTCCATACACTTTTGGATCAATAGTGAACATTCTTTCTTGAGGAGAACTGGGTTCTTCAGGTAAATCAGATGGATAACCCTGTGCGAGAGTGCTGTACCCTGTTTCTTGTGCTGGAGGACTGGGCTGGGGTTCTTTTCCTGTTTGAAACTCCTTGTCACCATTTTTATGCATGGGAGACATGGTATCAATAGACTCATGGACACTTTCTCTAGTGTCACTCAGTTCATAGTAATCACTGCCTGGCTCAATGCTTTTTGTTGCTTCTTCCTTCAAGGCAGATGTTTCAAAGTACTTGGACATTCCTGATTTATCTTCATAAAATGGCATGTCAAGCTCAGCTGATGTTGCAGCTCCAACCCCTTCAATCTTATCTTTGTCATCAACTCTCATTTCAAAAAGTTCCTGAATTGAGCTCTTTTCAATTAATGCAGATGGTTCGGTCATGGCTTTCTCCAGTGTTTTAGAGGTCATGGCTGAATCTGTAACTGCTTGCTCCAAACTTACAGGGAACAAGTCCTGTTTCGACATATCTGTGGTAGGCTCTTGGTCTTTCTGTTCTGAGAAAATATGCTCTGTGGAGGTCTGAATTATGCCTGCTTCTTCATCTGCAGGTTTTGGGGGTTTACTCTCTTTCGGCACAGCTTCTTTGTCAGAAATGGTGGTTTTTTCTTCAAGCTTCAGCTCAAGTTCCTTTTCAGTAAGTATAGGTTCCTGTCCACTGGGGATGAAAGTATCTTTCTGCTGTACAGTCTCTTGATTTATGGCCTCCTTTTCTTCCTCTAAAACTTTCCCTGTAACATGTTCTTCTACAACTGGAATGTGAGCATCTTTGCATAAGGTCATTGCCTCCGAGGGTGGTGCTTCTGCCGTTTTGTCAGGTTTATCCTCATAGGGCTCTTCAATGTTAAAACCATCTTTGGCAGTAGCTGGGCCACTGGTTTGTTGCAGAGATTTTTTGTCATCTGGCTGTAAAAAGGCAGGGGTGAAGGGTGATGTGTCTGTAACTATTTCATTCTTCATGACATCTAAAGGAAGAGTGAAGCTTCCACCTTGAAAGGGACTTGGCATGGGAGAATCAAATTGTTTCCCTTCCCATTTTGGGATATCATCAAATACGTCTTTTTCCCTCATGGGAGTCAGAGGGCCAGGAGATATTGGAGCAACTAAACCCCACTCATCCTTTTTTGCTTCCATTGGCATTTCGATGAACCAGTCCTTTTGTTCTTTTGGAGTTGGAGGCTCTTTAGGGAGGTCAATGCCAGGTACTACAAGGCTTGGCTCTGTCTTCTGTTTCATGTCTTCCAGGCTGGCAATAAGAGTGTGCCCAAACAAAGCTGGGGGTGCTTTTTCTTCTTCTGTGCCTTGCATGTCCTTTTTATCAGGGTAAGTTTTAGTTGTCTCTGGCTGAGAAACTAAGGCAGCATGTTTAAAGTCTTCACCAGGCTTACTTTGCTTCTCTGACTCCGCTTCCTTCATGTCTAAAGGCTCAGCTGCAGAGGGAGTCAATTCCTGCTGATCATGGAACTCCATCTTCGAGGCTGTAAGTAAATCTGAAGTAATTGGGTTGATTTTTAAACAAATAATAGGCAAGTGCATTCAGGAAATAAGCTTAAAATTATATTTTGAAGTGATAAATGAATGGTAGAATAACAACAAAAATTATGGAACATGCAAGCATGCTACCCATGTAAAAATCAATATGAAAAGGTCAGGACTGAGATTTATGTGTACTATTACTAAAATGAACTCTGGTAATAAATTAATGTGCAAAGGAATTGTAAGAACAGCATATTTCTGGATATTCTTTTCTCTTTTTCGTTTGTTTGTTTGTTTTTTTTTTTTTTTTTTGGTCTCTCCTAAACCTTATGTGATGTGTATTATAGAAGAAACGAAATTCATGCGCCTTCTATACATAAAGATTATAAGCTAATGAATATTGAGTAAGCAGCTAAGTTAGGGTACAGAAGAATATTTAGTAAGGACTAAATATAGATAAGACTTGATTTCTACTGAACATTTTCATTGGTTTTATCATTTAAAAATGAATTGGTAGGCTACGGGCAGAGGGCCAAGTAATGCACAATGATGTAATGTTAATAGTTTCAGTTAACTTGATCAACAAATGTCAGGGCCAATTCTTTAGGCATCCACAGGTTACTGGCATAAATTTTTATAATTCATCTGAAATTAAATTTCAGAAATATAAGTAAATATTTGCTATCAATTTTATATGATATGACTTAAGAATTTACAAGCCAGTTTCTATCACATATTTAAAAATTTAAATTCCTAATCATTACTTAGTCTGTACGATAGATATAAGAAAATCTGAATTACACTGTTGATACTGGGAAGTCATGTGAGTAACAAACTTTTCAAAACAGTCAACTATTGAAATAACTTTACTCCCATGGTCATGACCTCAATCCCTGCAGCATGACCAACTGGTGAAGCATTGGCCAGTATCGGCTTTAGAGGTGCTCCACAGAAATTAGATAACACATTTTCATAAAATAATAAAATTCAACCATCTCTAAAAGAGCAAGTGTATGGATCATCATTACCTTATATACTTATGTGTCCTGTTGTAACAATAGAAAAAAAATACTTTATGAACTTCTAATAAAGGTTAGATGAATGAAAACTCAAGAGATATGGGGATGATCAGAAGGGTTGGCTGCCATGGGGAGAAAATGATATGAGAAGCATCAGCAGGAGCTCAAGAAAATCAAACCAGTATTCATTGAAGCATAAAAAATATAGCACATTTTGGTTGCAAACAAAAACGATTCCACGATTTAAGCTTCTATGTGCCAAAATCCAACTGTACGATTTGAAATAAAAGCATATGAATTGCTGTCCCCAAAATAAAAACAAAAATATACATGTATTAGCAATGTGACTGGCAAACATTTGAGATGAGGGGGGCGGGTAAAAAAATAAAATAATAAAATAAAAAAAGAAGCTCACATAGCATCATCAGCCTGGCTGCAAAGCGTATTGTATCATGGCAAAGGAAAACCAGGAACCAGCTACAGCACTGGAAAACCAAGCTGCCACATGGCACTTGCGCAAGCCACGCACTCTGCACATGAAGCCTACAACAGTGGACTTGTTATCATAAGACCCAGCGATGAAATAGCGAAATAGCATTGGAAAGGCATCAGGTTGGTAAGCCACTGGAGAGATCATTTGCAACAAAACACATGCAAATCCTGAGAAAGACACACCTTCCCCAGCAGAGGAAGGGGTTTTTACTTCTGGAGACACCTCCTTGACCTCTTTTACACTTTTCTCATGTGGGGCCCCTGCCGGGGCACTCTCTTCGGGAACTATTTGGGCCTCCGCACTAGACTCCATTTGGCCCTTACTGAGGCCTTTGGGTTGGTCTGAGGACTTAGCAGCCCCACACTCTTTCTCAGGAAGAGCAGCAGGTTTCTCTTCCTCAGCCATCCGACTCTCTAGCGTTTCTTCTTCTTAGGGATGAAAAAGATGTTGACATCATGACCACAGAACAATACATGAAACGACAGAAATATTACTAAAGGAACACTTTCAGCTCCATTAGAATGACCTCATGAAGACCTCAGCTGTCTTTTTTATTTTACCGTTTGGATGAACAAATTAATATTCTAATGCAACATACATTATGTACTGGTTGGAAAACTATGATGTATAATCTGCTAATAGTGATGACTTTTAAAGTCTCATTAAAAGGCAATTTATTTTAAAATTTGAGAGCTGAAAGGGTTGTATTGATTGATTACCCTTATTGGAAACGGCAGTAAGTTGCACGCATGTGGAAAGCTTGCTGGAAATAAGAGATGGTGCTGCCGGATAACAGATGGTTGTGAAAAGATGGATATACTGATGTACTGAAAAAAAAAAAGTCTTTAAATTTGTTAGACATGTGCTGTTTTCGCCAATGCAGGAAGCCCCTACATAAGAATTCCCGGCTGCTTTATTTAAAATGTGCAAATTTTGCTAAAGAAATCTTTGGGAATAAAAAAAGCCTTGCCTCAAAAGAATATCCAACCAACTACCTTAACAGCTTTATCACAAAGTCCACCAAATTTACTTAAAATACAATTTATTTAGCATTTACAAGGTAAGGGACTACCTAAGTCAAGTTATGTTAGCTTCATTGCATTATGATGTTGGAGAAAATGAACATTTTCAAGAAGTAAAATAAAATATGTTAAAAACAAGGTCAAGGTTAAATTTAAATCTGTTTAGAAAAGTCTACCTCTGGGACACAACTATTACCATATTGTTTAACTCCCTGAAATATCAGTAAATATCAGTTTATGTATAATTCTCTTTGACACTAAAGAAAAAATATTCACATTAGTAATAAAGTCTCATTTTTGTAATTCAAAACAAAAATCATCAAGGAAAGATCATTGAGTGGCAATCAAACGGCCAAAATAACCACCCCCCAAACCATGTATATCAAATACAAAAGTTAACATTTAACATGTAAAGATAAACTTTTCAAGTTCATGAGTTATTGCACTAATTTGTTTCTCATTTACACTTGAAATGTCAGTAAAAATAAGTAAATCCCATTTTGTCACTTAAGGAATTAGAGAGAAGTATATGAGCTGTTTTATAGTTTTGTAAATGGAAGATTCTTACAAAATTCTTATGAAATAATTGTGCATTGTTTAAATGGCCCTGAGGGAAAGACTACAGATAAGAAGAAAAGGAATTTTTTTTTTTTAGAAATATTAATATCCTCAGAGAGATACAGAGGGAGAGAGAGAGAAATAAAAAGCTACGTTACCTCTTCACATTTAGCATTCATTTTTATTTTCGTAATTTAATTATGGAATTTAAAGTAGCATTTTAAAAATTTAGATTCTAACTTGTTATTTTAGGAAAATTTTATAATGTCATAGATTTTGATTACAGTTAAAAGAATTTTAATATAACTGCACTATAATGTTACCTTTTTGAATAAAGTCTAATCAAGTTAATGTACATGTTTTCAAATCCATGTAGCTTTTTAGCTTTCCATTTTCTCATTTGGTATAAATCATATTTATTTCCACTACAGTTGTTCCTTATTTAAAAACACATATATTTTAGAAATTTAGTTTAGAAGAACTTAGTTTCACTTAATAGGACTTATATTTCTTTGTTGGAGAGCCTGAGCTATTGGTGGTTTGTTTTCAAAAGGGTCCTTGAAGACGCTTATTATGATGACTGTAGTTGGTGAGCTGTAAGCTTATTCCTTATTGCTTTAGAACTATCTGCTTTCATATTAAATATTGTCCCTTTTGGAAATAAACTCTTCGCCTAAGCAAAAATATATTTAGCTGTACCTTTTTTTTCCTTTACCAAAACTACCTAGTTAGAATGAGACATATTGCAACCCATCACCTACTTATTTTATCCTCACAATAACCAATTATACACTTGAGTCTCCCAGCTTTATAAGGCTAGAATGACAAAGGCTTTGAATCATTTCCTTCATTTTAGTCCAGCTCTACTGATGTGGGCCAAGATTTAGTCACCTGGGGAAGCCTCTGTAGTTTCTGTAGATGATTACATGATATGGGGAAGTACATTGTTTCCGTAACATTTATTCTGCTCTAAACAGATTCTTCATTCTTTCTCTTTTAAAGATCTATTATATTAGTACAGCACTAAAAAGAAAGCTAATGCTATTTAAAGATACTATTTAATAGTAACATTATGTGTCTAAGGAGTAAAAAAATTATATTAAGAGTCATCTTGTTTGGTTTGGGTAAGAATATGTTCTTCCCCTGCTGATTATTGGCAGGGAGCAGAAAGAAGTCATACTTTAACAGAATAGTTTTTTGCTTCTCTCTCTCTCTTTCTTCTCAGAAGCAATGATACAGAAAAAGGAAGTGCTCACATGCCTCTAGTAAGGCTTCTTTTATATAAATTGTTAAGGCATTTGGATAGATTCAGCTTATATAGGAACTTCACTTTCATGCAGAGAAAACAGGCTCCTATCCCTCCCACCCTGTATGAAGGCACACTTAACATGATGCAGGTGGTCAAAGCTGCAGGCCGGGGAGGAGGAGCAAAAGGGGACCATGCTTGGTTCACCTTTCTCCTGGCCTAAGTGGGCCTCTGCATTCTGCGCTGTGACACTGGGGAGCACACTAGAGGTGGTCCATTCTGAGCTGAACAAAGGATGCTCATAGTACTCCTCATCAGAATTGTAAGGGTCATCATCAGGCACAGACACCGAGATGGAGGGGGCTAGGAGTCTACGCCTCTCCCCGCTGGTGGTAGGTTCATGGCTGGGGAACCTGTGTAGAGGACCCACTTGATCCTCAGCCCCTTCATCTACAAACAGACACACAGGAAGAAACTGCAGGGAGAACTGGACAACATAGACACAAGATCAGACGGACGAGACAAACACCTACACAAGGACACGAAGGGCCACAGAAGCAGCACAGCAGGATGAAGGGAAATTAGCAAGATCAAGCTGATGGAGGATGGGAGACAGCGAATGTTTCATGCCTCAGTAACCACTCAATTCCACCTATCCCTTAAGCAAGTTTGTCATTGATCTAAGTGAACCAAAAGCATTGACAGTCCTGCTGCAAAATAAAAATCATCTATACATTCCTCTCAAACAAGTCAGAATAACCAAGGAATCATTGGAATAGAAACAAAGCCTTACAAAAAAATGCATTCTTTGGAAGAAATTCTTTCATGAAGATTAACTCTACTCGTGCTTATATCAATATATTTATAAGTTAAAAAAGAAGAAAGTTGTTAGGATTTAATGCCTGTAAGATTATGAAGAAAATAGTCCTGTTTAAAACATAGCCTTAATTTTCTAGGATGCACAAGTAGTGTTTTGGTTAATTTAATTCTAGTTAATAACTTTAACCAGAAAGTCATTTTTAATTTCAGTCCTGTTAAGAAAAATCTACAATGCATTATTCCTCTTCCCTGCCTTAATAAGAAATGAGCAGTCAGCATAGCTCTTTCTTTGGATGCTAAGGCTAATGTAGTACCAAGGGACATCATTTTAAACAGGGTTCTGATTTGCAGGGCAGAGACAGTATACTGTTTTAAGAAAGCCTCTAATATTATAAATTTGTTTTCTTATGTTTTGTTTCCCTCCTGAAAGCTTAGTAGAGATACAATTAGCTGAAAATTTCTGCAGAGTCGGCTACAGATTCATTAAGACTTTATTCCATGTAGTTTCATTTGTACCACTGGCTCTTGGCTGTTTTTCAAGTTTCAAATCTCTTATTGCATGTTTCTTATCGAAATGCTAAAGTAACTACTCTCATTTCTGTTCTTTCCTGTATCTTGCCTAGGAAATTTGCATTATTTAAATATATCTCCTTAAATATACAACTGTAGATCAGTCTGCTTAGCATTTGGATTCTTGTATAATTCAATGAGCACTTGGCTTCTGATGTGATGCAGACATTATATCTCAGGCCTATGTGGTGGTTACTAAATTTGCTAATCACTATTTATTTACTTATATTGAGAAATCAATTTAAAACTTCATGACTCTCAATAATAAGAACAAAATCTATAGTATCTATCTGTATAGTTTTTATTTATATCAGATTTTAAGAAGACAAAATTATAGCATTAATTTGCAAATATACTGTATTTTTAGGACAGTAACTTATTTTTGGCAACCAAGTGATGACAACTAGAAATAAGTCTGAAATCATGAGGATACTAAAATAACATTTTGTAGAGAGAATACATTTAATCTTTCAAGCACATTATTTACTGATTGTTCCATGGAAGATGTTTCTGGATAGATGCTCAGAACTTTCTCAGCCACAATGCTTTTTATATCATGGGATAGCAGAAGCCTAAAATAACATTTGGTATTCTTAGTTCAACTCGGCACGATTTCGCAGCTGAGCAGATAATTGTCCAAGATCTGGCCTACAACACTGACTGAATCATAGCCCTGGCTTGTCACATGTCCTAGCCATTCATATTTCTCTCAGTGGATCTCTGGGGCTGTAAACTCCCCATGCATGCAAGTTACTTCTAAAACTCCTGATATGTTCAATAGGGTACTTCCATGATCAATAAATGAAAATGGGATATGTTCCTCTCTGCTTTTCAATATTTATTTTCTGGGAGGTACAGCAGACTATAGTATAAAACTGAAGAATTTCTGGGAGGTACAGCAGACTATAGAATAAAACTGAAGAATTTCAAGCTGAGAGTAAAGCAATACTCATTGGATGTTTTAACCTTTTGCAGATTCTGGCCACCTCTTTCTTGTTGTCATTGTTCTTTGTGAAAGTGCCAAAATTTAAAAACAGTCCAGAGCCTAGCTTCAGATCTATAGCATTTTAAAAAATGGTATTTTCTATTCTGAAAACTTTCACTCTAATCAGGAAACAACAAAAAGAAGACCACAAAATTTGAAAGCTCCAGTGGAAAAAGTAGCTTCTTTGTAGTACTTGTCTGGCCTGGGACCAAGGCAACTTCAAAAAGAGTGTCTGGCAAAGTCCAATCTTCTCTTGGTACTGTGAGCTGTCTGTACTCCAAGTCTCTGTTTAAGACCTATAAGCCTAAAGTCCATCTATGTTACAAGCTCTAGAGATATGCCGGGGAAGCTATGCTTTATGGGGACCAGGGAGGGCTAAGCCAAAAAGGGCACTTGATTCTAATGATAATGATAGAAGACATTAGATTCTCATTCCTTATGGTGTTGTGCATGGCAGGTGCATCTGGATCACTCTCAATGGAGATGGAAGACATAATAATTTTAAATAAATAAATAATAAATGGAATATTTATTTTTAAGCTTTTTTTTTTTATTAAAGGAAATTAGTATAGTAGCTTGTAACAAATAACTCTCATTTGAAGATAATTTACTTCCATAGTCTCACAGTAAGAACCTTGATAAGAAACAGCCTTAGGGATGTAGTGCAACCATGATTGCAGAATTTAGATTTGGATTTGCATTCTGGATAAGCCACTTATCCAGACATAAACCATGACATTTTGGGCAAAGGAGTGGAAATGAATATTATCTATCTTTGTGGGTTGCGGGGAGGATTAAATGAGAAGATATCTGTGAAAATGCCAAGCACAATGTCTGACTCCATACATCTTAGCATCTGTGTCTTCAGTGTACTCAAACAAGTTGTCAGGTACCTCTGTTCCTTCCCCTCATTTAACACATCAAAGTTGGAGTTGAGAGATATATGAAAAATTAAATTTATTTCACAACAGTTTGCTGTTTGAGGTCAGGATTGAATGCATGCATCCTTTTACTAGAAGTGGGCATGCTTCTGGGGACTCTGCTTTTGCCACAGAATATTCTATTTCATTTAATAATGTGTTATGCTAAAAACAGGGTAACCTTATACCTTATATACCTTGGACTTCCACATAGTTCTTCTGCATAATTATAATCTTCAAAAATAAAGCTTACCTGCTTTCAATGGAGGAATAAACTTTACTTTCCCTAGTTTGCTTTCATTCAAACTTTTTTTTTTTTAAATAAAGTATTTGAAAATTTACACTGGGCTAATGTAAGGTTTGCCATGTAAAACCCAGCCTTGGTATGCCAGCCTCCTTTGGAGACTGCATCTTGTGGAATGTTAGTGATTCGGTGCTTTTTGCTTGTTGTGGCATCACAGCATATGGTTGATGGCTGCTGGCTGCACTTACATTGCTCTCCACATTTCCAAGCCCTTTCCATTCTGCCAGCTTTTGACTGAGGACTCCTCAGTCTGCTGACTGTTACTGCTGCCCCAGAATGACAAAGAGAAAACTACTTTCAGATGAGCGATGATTAGGTCACACATCCATGACACAGGAAAACACCACCCTAGAATTCTGGAGCAAACCTAAAAGGGCAGAAAGAATCCTGGTTCTATGTTCAGATTATTCCATACCTTCACAGCCTTCCAAATTCTAATAGCTCAGTCCAAATGACAACTATTATGATTAGGCCAAAAAGAAAAAGGAGGTTAATTTGAAAACATCATAATCAGTACAGTTTTGGTTTACTGTACCATAGTTCCTTTTCTAAGTGTGCAGCTTGTTTCATTTTTTTGATCAAAATCCCTTGTAAATGTTTTCCAGAATAAGCACATATCCTGGGAATTACTAATATTACATTAATTATAATAAATATTCATAAATGATAGTAATTAACATTTTAAATTATTTTTAGTGGAAGCTTTCATGCTTTCCCTTTGGGAAAGAACAGCTTTAAAAAGTTTGATAATTAATAAAAAGGAAGTGTATCCTCAAAATCGCTGAATTAATCTAACAAAAGAGCTTTCTTCCATTTGTACAAAAGGATCAGATTGCAGCAGTCACTACTCCCTCAGATTAAAGTTGCTCTGAGGGTATCAAGGAGGGTAAATAATCCGCTAGATAAGGCAAAAAAAATCCACCTGCTCCCTTTCCACCTGACCTGCTATAAGCAATATATTGATGGAATTTGGGCTGAGTATTTACAAACTACTTGGTTTGAAAAATTGAACAGTTCAATCCTGTCTTGTGACTTGTCACTAATTTATTTTCTGACAAAACTAAACTTAAAAAATACTTGTATATTACTTAAGTGTGGCTTAACATAAAAGAGAAGCAGTAGTTTGTCTATACCACAAATCTTTTACATATTTAAGGTGAGAATATTATCTGGTCTTTATAGAGGTAGAGTTTATAAAATATATACATCTATTTTTCTTAAAACTCAAAAAATGGTTATACATTTAAAAGGAAGGAAATAATCAGAACTTCAGATAGTTCAATGCTTAAAAAATTAAAAATACAAGTTTGGCTGGAAAATAACTTTGAATTACTTTCAATAAGAGGTTAGTTGGTATTTTCCTTGAATATCTTGAAACAGCTTGAAGAAAGTAATTCCAAAATATTAGGGAACTCTGGAAAGTTGACACCTAAGTTACCCAAATGTGAAGGTGATTCTACATTTTATTTATTTATGCTTTCATTATATCCATCATATTGCCCTATAGGAAGCAGGCTGGGTGAATTCCCAGATGGATGGGGGACACTGCTTCTTTCCTTTCTGTTCCAAATTCCATATACAGTAAGAAGATTAAATGACTTGACCTCAAGCTGACTTTTGGAGTAAACCTATTCTGTCAACATCATATCCCTCTCTGGGTTAAGAGGATTCTCTGATGCTTGAAAAGCTTTAAGTAGGAGCTTAAAAACATTTTTCATGGCCTGAAGGAGGTACAAGGGTCATGTCAGGCTTCCCCCTGCATTCAGAGTGAAATCTAGGCCACTGACCCCAGCTGACCACGGCTTACTCTCACACTCCCCTCCACTGCTCTACTCTTTCTCACTACCCATTAGCCACGGACCCCCTTCCGTTCCTGGGCCACTTCATCTTCTTGGGCACCTGAGCACCCTTGTGCTTTTTTCTATCTTTGTTTGGCCAACACTTTCTCCTCATGCTTCTGGTCTCAGCTACTTACCCATCCCCTCACCCCCCAATAAAATAAGGTTTCCCTTGTAATATTTTAAAGCTCCCTATTCTTTTACTTTTCAGTGCTAATCCAATTTAAAATTATTGGTAAGTTTATTTATTGGATTCCTGTTCTTCACTAGTGTTTATTTATTTATTTATTTATTTATTTATTTATTTATTTAGAGACAGAGTCTTGCTCTATCTGGAGTGTAATGGTGCCATCTTGGCTCACTGCAACCTCTGCCTTCTGGGTTCAAGTGATTCTCCTGCCTCAGCCTCCCGAGTAGCTGGGATATAGGTGTGCGCCACCATGCCTGGCTAATTTTTGTATTTTTAGTAGAGACAGGGTTTCACCATGTTGGCCAGGCTGATCTCGAATTCCTGACCTCAAGTGATCCGCCCGCCTCGGCCCCCTAAAGTGCTGGGATTACGGGCTATAGTGTACTCTTTAAAAGCAGGGATCATGTCATTTTGTTCACTAGTATATACTCAGAATTTGAAGAGTACCTGGGACATTGTAGGACTCAGTAAATATGTGCCCAGTGAATGGATAAACACAAGGTCAAAAGGAACTTTTCAAACCTATAAATTAAAAGATTAAATCACATTAACTAATAATCATTGGCTGCTATGCACTGATTATTATCCCCAACATTTCTTTTATTCCTCAGAAAAATTTAATTTGTTTATTATTTCATGCAGTAAATTGGGAAAAAAAAGGGCTCAATTTAAGAAAGAAAAACCTTGCTAAGATAAATTTAGGTTTATAAATCTGTAACAAAATAAAATTATATTAGAGTTGATAATATATGGTTCACTAATTCAATTTTTTATATTTAGGAAATCAAAGAATATTTTAAATGGAGCTAATTACAAATGATAAAAAGATAAGTCTTTTAAAATAAATGTTCTTCAGTCTTAAACACAGTAAAAAGGAAAAAAAAATGTGTGAATGAATAAGATAAACACTTCTAAACTTCTGGTTTTAATATATGAAAACTAAGTAATATTGAAACAACAATGGAGCCCTAGTTCTCCTCTGCCTTTTCCTATAACTCTCAAACAATAAACAAAGGTTAACTGGTCTAAGAGAACCAGTAATTGTTTCCTTTTAAGTAGTGCCTTTCATCTCAAAATCTGAATGAATATTCTTCAAAGGCATCTTTTTGTTTTATCAATGAGAACTGAAAAGCTGACATGACATTCCATGGTGAGTAAGTTCATAAAAAGATCCATGGACAATAACAGGTCTCAACAGGAAAGAGTCATGAGCTCAGCTTCCAGTTCAATGCTCTCAATATCAGATTCATTCATTAACTTCTTCATTTATTCATTAATAATTATTAAATTTGCTACAGGTCAAGCCCTGGGGAAGGTCTTGGCAATATTATAGTGAGCAAAACAGATAATTCCTGACACTTTCATAAGGAAATGTTGATTTCATTGATAAATCTGACTCCTACTATTATGGAGATTACATTTATATTTATTTTAATTTTTGTTCAGTCACTTACAAGGTAGAATTGTATCTTCCCTGTTAAAGCATTCTAAAGTGAATGGGTTCTCTACAGTTATTTTAGCAACTGAACACAAAATTATCTTCCTTAATCAAGCAGATTTCTTTTATTTACCAAATTCCTCTACTTTTGCTTTTATAAAAATAAGTGATTATTTATTTAAAGTCTTTGTTTCTTCTTCATTATTTGAAACAGATAGCTCCAAAGCTTGGTCACATACTAACCAATACCAAAGTCGAGAGCTTACTGATTGAAGTTCATTGTTCACCCTTTATCAGAAGACAAACCCTGAAAAGTCCAATAGGCCTTACCTTCCTCCACTGTGACAGTCTGTTCTGAGGCAGGTGATGGGGGTGGAGAAGGAGGCAGATTAGCTGTTTCTTCAGCTGCTAAAGATCAAACAATGGAAAAATGAGATGCAATAATTAATCCTTTTAGGCTGGTAGATGTGTAGGAAGTTCTGCCATTTGTAAAAAGACCTTTCTATAAAATTCAGAAAAAGATTCAATAGTAAGCTGCATTTGATTTATTTTTAGGCCCATTACCTGATTCATGTATTTTTGAAAACCTAAAAAACAAGATAAGCATTTGATATTCTCCCAAAAAGTGATTTTATCATCTCTAGAAAAACAGATTAGAGATGCCTGCTAAAATTCCATCATTACTCTCATTAATGTGTCTACCTGTACAATTAATAAAATATTTCATTTTGGCCCTAATTTACCATATGAAAACACACACAGGCAGGCAGACGTTTTTAGCCTGGATTCAGCTACTGACTGAAAAAACTATTAGAACTCTATTGTTCAACTGCTCAATCTGGAAACGTGTTATCTTGACCACTCATAGTTATTTTAGGGGACATATTTTTTAAACCTTTTGTTCACTGAGTCTAATTTCAAAACTCATCTTCTGTATGTATTCTCAGAAAAGGAAAAATAAACTTTCATAGCCTGAGCGAACTTTCAGACAAAAGCCATGTGCTGAGTAAACTTCTGGTCTTAGCAATCGATACACGTGAAGATGAACCAGAGAAAAATGTTCTAAAAGATGTAATTCATTTACAGTTAATCTAAGTTTTATTTTTCAAGACACTTACATGATTTGTGATCCCCTCATATGACAGTAAAAAATTTCAAAAGGAAATATTTCTCAATTAAGGCCAGTGGTTAAATCTATTTAAAATATTAGGGGAATTTCAGTTTCATAAAGTAGTTAGTAGAGGCAGCTTTGGGATGACAGGTGACTTTTTAGTTCCTTATCCTATGGGCTTCTGCGTGGTGTATTTTAAGATTTCAAGTTTTAAAAAATTGAGTTTTCTTCTCTTTCAAGGAATAAAAGTGAACAATAAACTGAAGGTTAATGTTTTAGATTAGATAATTCTTTATCTATGTGTTTTAAGAGAAAAATAGTCCTTAATAATTAAAAAATCCCACAGTACTAAAAATACTGAGTGTATTCTAAATTACTATTTTGGGAGGGCAGATTATTTTTATTATTTACTTTTTAATAGACAATTAAAGGAATACTGATCAAAAATCAAATATCACGGATATATTAGACTGTAAGAGAGGGAAATGGATATGTACTATTTTTAGGCCTTTAAAACCATACCTTTCTATGACTTGCGTGTATATACCTGTGAAATAAATATATATATTGAATTTAAGACAGTCTCTTTTCTTGTATCTCTTCATGTATATACATCCATCTATCTATCTATCTATCTATCTATCTATCTATCTATCTATCTATCATCTATCTATGAGTAGGGGCAGCAAGGCTTTGACTGAGAGTGTTTCCTTTGGCAAGCGTGCATTACATGACTTGCCTGGCCTAGAGGGCATTTGTCTTGTTACTAAGGGAGAGAAGAGCACTTTCTCAGCGCCCTTAGATGAACCAAGTGAAGTTCAGTACTTCATATAAGATACAAAGTCACTCATGATTATAACAAAGCTCTGGCTATAGGTTTTGTGTAGTCAGTTCAGGAAGACCCAAACAAGGCTACAGTATAATCATTCACCAAAACCTGTAAAGGGAAATAATCATCTCTTATGAAAGTTTTAGTATATTATCTTTATGGGTGGAGTCATGAAATAATGCATTGACTTTATTTTAATAATAACTATTTCTAGTGGTCTGGAAAATGAAAACATTAAGGGCCCCTTAGGGAAAAGTCTAACTGTAAGCTCACCACTCTAACTAAAGACTATGCAAACACTACAACGAACCAGTGGAAAAAGATGAAAATAGGTCCTAGTGCATACCCAGTTAAGGTATCTGATGAATGTTACATGTAAGGATGAAGTACAAGATATAGCCTATCTTTTGAACATGAAGACTTTATCCTGTGATCAGGGTGCAACAGACACAGTCCCTGACCTGAGGATCGTCTCATTTACCTAAAGGCAGAGCTGCAGTCTGGTCTTTATGCTGAGCTTCTTTCTCTTGTTCACCTTTCAGGACTGCTACAGCCTCAGCAGTGACTACTTGAACTATCCTTGCAGACACCTCCTCTGTAATAAACAGTAACAAAATAAAATATAATGATGAGAAGTCTGAAACAGAAAGCAAGAGGAAAAGTAACCAAACAGTATAATGGATTAGAATTCCATTTTCTTCCCCCTAAAAAGTACAATATACTTTTATAATTGCAGAGAAAACATAAACACATATATACAAAAAAGAAGAAGAAAAGAAGTTGGTATTCTAGGAGCTAAGCTAAGCAAGCAAAATGAGCACAGAACTGAGAAAAAATACTTATATGGTATTTGAACTTTTTTTTTTGACTTCAACAACAGAAATTTATTTTCAACTCTGAAGTCTATGACATCTCTGTAATAGAATGAATGTTTGTATCCCCTGCCCCCAAAGTCATATGTTGAAGTCTTAACCTCCAATGTGAAGGTAATTGGCACTTTATTTTGTAAAAGCTGTTTACACAAATAGAAACAATTTAATTTCTTTATACCTAGTAAAACAAATTCAAGGAGAGAAGAGAGGATTCATTTTGAATTTAACTTAATTTTGTTTTATAGTTTTCTTATACTATTCTAAAAATGTAATTTATATAAGCTTGTGTGCTTGATTTGCAGAAACACCATTATTTAAAATATGAAAAGATGCCTCAAAATGTATATTTGTGGTTAAACAGCATTATCCAGGATCAGTGAAAATAAGTTAAATTGTAAAGAGGCAATGATATGTCAGATGGTCTCTTTCTAAAGAACTATGATTTTTCTAGATAGTAGATGTTTTAAAGATCTTTAAAGTCATATGACATAAAATCATCTCAGTTTCATTGTTTTTTTTTTTTTAAAAAAAGAGGGTTCAAAATTAAAATGATCAGTCTGTGAGACGCCAAATAACTAGTTTTTAGCATCCCTGACTACTATAATGTTCTTTCTCCTAAGCAGAACAATGGAAGAAATAACAAACACATAATCACAAAACTTTCTAACAGTCATGAGTGAATGACTAACAGAGATATATCAACTCTTTTAATGGTATGAATGAAGGAAACATACTCACTCTCAGACCTGCTTAGCTATCTGTGTATCTAAAATACATCATTGTAATTCCATTCCTGATTATAGCTGGAAGCTATGTAACAAGTGATTAGCCACAACTGAGCAACATCCATCCATCCATCCATCCATCCATCCATCCATCCATCTATCTATCTATCTATCTATCTATCTATCTATCTATCTATCTAATCTATCATCTATCTACCTATCTGCCTGTCTACCTACCTACGTATCTCATAGACCATGTTAGATATTGTGAGAGTTTACCTTTAGAAGATGACTATTTTATTTCTAAGAGATAATACTATCTTATTAGCTGCTTGTTTTAGTGTTGGAATAGAATTTTTCACAGTTACACCAGTTAAATAAATAACATTAACAGTCATCAAAGCATTATGAGGAAGATTATCTGCTATGCTACTCAGTGAAGAGGGCAGTAGAGAAGAAAGGGCTGTTTGTTTTCATAAAGCCAGGCTACTGGGTGGGGTTTCTCTGAACATTCTCTGAAAGGCTGGGCTCCTAAAGTGATGTTTTTTTTTTTCATGGGAAAGAGTACACAAAAAGGGCTACAGAAAATTAAATTAGCTGTAAAGATATTGCTTAGACATCTAAATTGTTTAATAATGTTACAAAAAGAATTATTTTAGGTTTTGAGAATCGCCACTTACATATATTAATTTTTAATGCAGTTAAAATATTTAAAAATCAGTACAGTGAGGTAGCTTCTTCTAGCACCCCAGTGATTTATGGAAAATTGAGTATAATAAAGAGGTGGAACAATCATGGCAGAAATTGGGAGATATATATAGGACCTTTATGTCTTCTGGATCATTCTTGCATCTTTCTATTAGCACGTATGCAAACTGTAGTATCTTCCTATGGCATTTAGTACATCTCACATAGAATTGTCCTGGTTCACATGGCTTATCTCCCACACTATGTAAAGTTTCCTAAGTCAAGGACTCTCTTCTGTTGTTGTTGCAATTCTAACTTTTAAGTTCAGGGGTACATGTGCAGCTTTGTTACAGAGGTAAACTTGTGTCTTGGGGGCTTGTTGTACAGACCATTTTATCGCCCAGGTATTAAGCCTAGTACCCATTAGTTATTTTTCCTGATCCTCTCCCTCCTCCAATCTTCCACCTTCCAATAGGCCCCAGTGTGTATTGTTCCCCTTGATGTTGATGTGTCCATATGTTCTCATCATTTAGCTCCTACTTATAAGTGAGAACATGCAATATTTGATTTTCTTTTCCTGTGTTAGTTTGCTAAGAATAATGGCTCCATCCATGCCCTGGCAAAAGAGATGATCTTGTTCTTTTTTTATGGCTGCATAGTATTCCACAGTGTGTATGTACCACATTTTCTTTATCCAGTCTATCATTGATGGGCATTTAGGTTGATTCTATGTCTTTGCTATTGTGAATAGTGCTGCAATACACAATTCTTGAAGCTTCTCTTACTGAGTTTTACTCAGATTGGATGCTTAACAGGATTTTTTTTTGACAGAATGGAAAATTAATATGAAAGGTTTTGTTCATAATATTTACAAAAATTCAGAAATAATTCATGCTTGTTACTACATTTAGTAACCTTAAAACCTCAAATTATCTTATTTACTCTATTATTAAGAATTTGATATATATATATCAAAACAGTATTTCTTAAATGGGGATCCTGCATTCTTGTTTAACTATTGATAAATATTTTTAGGGTCTGAGAGTGTTTTACATGTATTAATTTTTTTTTTAGATTGGGAAGATAATCCAAAATAAATAAGTATCCATTGGTTATATGAGCAAATTATAACAGAGCAATTCTACATTATTTCAGTCTTTTTCTTTGGTATTGTATTTTAGGATACAGTTTTGATACCATGGAGAATTATTTTAAATGTTGAGAGCTAATAAGAAAGGAGCGGTGGATTTAATACATAAAGGACGCAGTCATACAAGTGTAGCCCAAATAACATTGTGGTACACTGTATAAATAGACTTTGAAAATAGTTGAAACAGAGACAAAAGGAGAATAGAAGTATTACTTGTCTCCGGTAGAGTATAGAAACGTCCAACTTAAACAAAGGCATGGTATCAGCCAGTACTATGTTTCAATCATGAGTGATAATTTAGTTTTAGCAAAGCAGTATAGTTTATTGTAGATGGGAAGCAGCAGAGAGTTTGAATATTACTGGTTTCGTTGTTTTGGAGAAAATGTGTGTTTATGTCCCATAATGGAATTAGAACTCATGAATAAGTTAATTTTATTTTTGTACATTTTTAACCAAAAGTTGTAAAAAAAAAAACCTTAATCTCAGGGAGAATTGATAATTTTTTCTTCCTTGAAGGAATTTAAGAGAATTTGAGAAACACTATTTTAGCACAGTCAAACAAGCTGTTGGCTTAACTGACATATTATCTTTAGGATTTTTTAGAGAATAATATTGTTAAACTTTTTCAAATAGGGCATAACACATTTTATAATATAAAGTTCACCAGTGAATTTAGGAAAACAGGAGCCTAAGAATGTTCTGGGAATTTCAGTTGGTCCAATTAATTGAAAATCTTCCTCTAAGTAAGGGCTATCATTAGCAGAGACAAGGATTCTTAAGGAAGGAAGAAATGGGCTTCTCTCACTGGAAGCCTCATCAGCACATCTACTGGGTGAGCTTCATCCTTAGAGCATGGCTCCTGGGACACGAGCAGATTCACTCAGGGTTTGTGTAAAGTTCAGGGCAGATTAACGGTAAAGGTTCCAAACAAACTCAGAAGACAAGGAAAGACAGTCACAAAATCAGACCTAGAAAAATATAAATGTAATGATTATGATGTGTGTGATTATATATGTAATTTCTTCACTGATTATACATTTGTCTATTAAATGCCTCATCCATCCATCTATCCATCCATCCATCCATCCATCCATCCATCCATCCATCCATCCATCCAGTCTTTCTATATATTTAGGGGATTACTGATTGCTGTTTTTTTGTGTTTTTTTTTACAGCACACATCAGAGGGAATCTCACAGACTTTAATTCAGAAAAATGTGGGTACAAATTCCAGCATTGCTACTTTCTAGTTATTTCATACTATGAAATGTGCTCAGTCTCATTTTTCTTTGATGCCTTATCCATAAAATAGAAACAATTTTAGTACCTGTCTCAGAGGCTGTTGTGGGGACTCAATTACATAATTATATTAACAAGCCTGCCACATAATTATATAACAGGCCTGGAATACAAATAAAATAAAAACTTCCAGATAGTCCTTCACCAACGCATCTTTATTTTCCCCTAGTCATGTATTTTTCTGAGTCTTCTACTTCAATATTTCTACTTCAAAGAAAGAGCAACCGTGATATGCACTAAAGGTCAGCCCAACTAGGCTATTGTTATTATAACTATCTGAAAATATAGTTAATAAAATATCACTGATGTTGATGGCTACGTTAATGGACAAGGGAAGTATTTTTTTCCAAGACAAAGATATGAGAGAAGTAAATATTGTCTTTGTTATTTATTTTCTGGCTTCACACCCAATTTCCTGGATGCATAGGTCCTGGGCTACCATCTGCTCAAGATTCCGTCCAGCAAGTACCAATTCAGGACTGTCTATTCTAGACAGTGCTCAAAAAGGTATGATAATCCTGTCTGATTCTGAACACAATTGGTGACATGAAAAATTCTCCTGACTAGACTACATTTTAATTTTCCATTGCTTACTTTTTCTACCTTCTATTCCTGTAGAATAGTTTTTTATACTTTCTATTCTTTTTTTCTTGTTTTTTCTTCCAAACATATGTGTAAAGTTATAAACAGGACTTAGTTGTTTAGAAGACTAAAGATGAATCTAGATTACACATAAATTGGGGAATTATTATTCATTACATGTAATTAAAAGGTAACATTGATCTTCATAGCTGAAAACATTAAACAAACATAAAACTGCTCATTGTAATCTGATATTTTGAAAGGCTCAATTATCTTTCTT